TTAGTTTCTCAGTGCATCGATTTTGGAAAATGTTCTGAGATTTCTAATAGATTCACTGATAGAAATGCTCCTAGAGCTGAAGTGTACAACTTTCATCGCTAACCGAAGCCCCTGACCAAACTCTGTTCTGGAGCTGGTTTTGTTACTCTAAACAGTGTCTTCTGCCTGTCGGGCTTGCAATTTTTCTCTCTCGGTGAAAACTGATGAGAAATTTTCTTGTTGTCATGCTGTGTGATCTCACTGGCACGTTTCTGCAGCTCAGCAGGTGTGTGCATCACATGCAGCTTACATCCACTGAAGGATGTAATCTGCAAGTTTAGAAAATAGTGTTCTGTTTCATCAGTGCTGCTTGAGTTTCCCCCCTCCCGTAATAGTAGCACAATAATATTACGGAAATGAGCTGAAAATTCTAATATTGCTTGTAACTGCTACCTCTGACATCTAGACCTTGACAAATTTTCTTTGACTTTCTGATGGAAGATTTATTTTTCTGGTAATATTTTGTATTTCGTGTGAGTCTCCAATAATTCTTACAGCGTTTTTCTTAATGTATTTTAATCAGTGTGATTTTTTTATATAATTTCAAATATCATATGTCCAAGCCAGAGATGGACATGGAGCACAGAATTTGGATTACAGTTTTAATCCATTCCTGTTGTTGACTCATGTTACTAGAATTTTCATTTGTGTCTGCAGCTGAAGAGTATCTGTCATTTGCCTTTGAGCACTGTCACCGCTCAAGCCAGAAGAACAAAAGAATGATTTTGATCTACCTGCTGCCAGTAAAAATGTTGTTGGTGAGTAGTTGTTACTCTTCTAAATAATGGAGGGGGGGCAGATAACCAAAGTAATGCTCAGTTCTGTACTTGTTTTTCCCTTACTGGAATTCAGAGGCTATCTGTGCCTGACCCCCATAAGAGCCAGCGTATGCACAATTTGTTGTGAGAGAACAAAAAATTTTGAATCGTCATTTATAGCAACACAGGAAGGGAGAAAGGGCAGCGGGGAAAAAAAACAACCAAGCAAGCAAAAACCCTGCCTTCCTTTCCCTCTGCCTTCCTCCCATCCTTCCTAAAGGTGCAACCTGAGGTTACTTCTGTAATAAAGATAACTTTGAGTTCTTTGGAGAAACACTTAACAGTGTAACTTCCGTCATGTAGCTGAGTGTCTGTCTGGTCATCAGCTACACAGATGCGCCGGGGAACGTGTGGATTCACTAGTACAAATCTGTCTGCTTCTTCCACCTGGTGAAGGGAAGGAGGATGTGTAAACAGGTGGCTGAAGACTGTTGAGGGGGGTTTGCCACAGGAGAGGAAGGATTCCTATCTTTGGGCTTTCTATTTGCACCTTTTACATTTGCCCATTTGAGGCCTGTCAGAAGGGTTATGAAGTAGAGCATTTTGGTTTTGGACAAATCAATGAAGACTGGTTACTATTTGATCATTTTGTCTTTCTGTTAAAAGAATTAAGTACATCCTTGATTTTTGTTCCTGTCCTTTCCCATGTGCTGTGCTAGCATTTCAGTATCCCTGAGCTAGTAGGTTATGCTAACAATTAATTCAGTGTAGCTAAGGGGACAAGAACTAGATTTTAGAGCTTCCTGTTCCTGGCCCTATTACTGAAGTTACCGTGGAGAATGTTGTTATCAGCTGCTCCTGTGAGTCACCATCTTTCACCTTTGCCCCAACCTGTTTATGACCATCCTCCCTCATCCATCCAGTGCTCCCTTTCCAGTCCCTTGCAGTGTCCGTTGGGTAGAGGGGAGGCATAGTGGGTATGATAATTGGCTTCTGGTTTTAATTGTTTAATTACTGAATCTTACTGGTTCTTTTCAGATCAATCAGTGGCAGGGTTGATAAAGGAAAACTTAGAGTCTTCCTAAAAACTTTGTCCTGGTCATGACTGGGTGCCTTAAACTGGTGGGTCCTTTAGTGCCTAGAATTACTGTGGATTTTCTGGAGCCGTTCTTCTGTACAAGAGTCGTTAAAGAAACTAGATAAAGGTCATTGGTTTTACAGTTGCTTTTTTTTTTTAATTAGAGCCCAAACATTAACCTTAAAATGTACAAAAATAGCTTGGATGTTTTGTTTTGTTTGTTTTGTTTTATTCTTAGCAGATCTCAGTAAACATGCAGCTGAGTCCTGGTCTCAGCTAATCCTCCAACCTGGAAAGGAGTTACCAACAGCATAGCATGATGGTAACTAAATTTAAAGTCTGACCCAAGTCAATGTGCAATCTGATCTCTGCTGTGCAGGGCAAAAAAAACAGTTTCTTTTTGATAGCATAGGTGGTTCAGTCTTACCTGATCTAGCAAGGAGAATTAATTTTGTTTCTTTCAATTTAAACTTTATCTGTTTTTTGTGTGTGTGTTTATTTTTGTTTTTTGAGAGTACATTTTTATTTCTGCACAGGGGCACAGTGAAGAAAAAGTGTGGTACAGACTGAGCTAGCACTTGACAGTGCTGAAGCACTGCTTATATTATTAGTAATGCTTGAGATTCCTGCAGTTCTGTTTGCAGATTAGATCATACAGCCATGACATAAAATTTGGATCTGCCTAGGCCTCATGTCACAGGATCCTGATTTTACAAGTATGATAGCTGTTCCCCGACATTAAGAAATATTAAGATTCCCTAAACCATGATAAATAGTTATGAGTTGAGCTACAAGGTGTTTGGGTGTGCCAAGGGGATTGTTTTACAGGTACTTTTATTCTACTCTTATTCTGTAGGACAACAAAAAAAAAAAAGCAGTTAATTGTATTTTTCTCTAACAAATGTTTTTATAGATTACTAGATTACATGTAAAATGTGTTTGACTTTACCCTGGAAACTTAGAAACCGTTTATTTTTCAGGGCCATATGCCAACAGTTCAGCTCTTAAAAAAGTATGACCTTATGCAGTTTGCTGAAGTAACAAAGGCTGTGAGGTATGGTGATCATTTTATTGGATTGTGTGTTAGTTCAAAAAGTATTAAGTAAAAGGTATTTATTTGGGATGATTTAGGAAGGAAGGGGAGGGGTATTCCTACCAAGTCAGACAATTTTTTTTCTCATTTGGGTAGGAACTTCTCATGTTTTAATTTCTTCATCCTTGTAGTGAAGGCAATCTTCTTCTGCTGAATGATGCTCTGACAAAGCACGAGACCTTCTTTATTCGATGTGGAATCTTTCTTATCCTTGAGAAGCTGAAAATCATCACGTACAGAAATCTCTTTAAGAAAGTGTAAGCATAACAAAACCTACATTTTTGCAAAACCAGATTTAATATGGTTTCACCTAGGACTGAGATAGAAATCTATATGCTCCTTAGTTCTCTCTGAGAGAGCTGAATTTATGTTAAAGCAAATTTATTGTAGAACAGCCATTTTTCTAGGAATCAGAACTTTTAAGTGATTGCTTCTCAATAACAGATTTTTTCCCGTTGTTTCTTTCAGATATTTACTACTGAAAACCCACCAGCTATCTCTAGATGCCTTTCTTTTTGCCCTGAAATTCATGCAAGTAGATGATGTTGATATTGATGAAGTCCAGTGCATTTTAGCTAACCTTATATATATGGTATGTGCTGACCACTTGTTGTCTAGTCCTTCCAGATTACAGACAGTAAAAAATATTGGGTAGAGAACAAAAGTTTATTACAAAAAATATACCAGTAAGCCCAGGTTTTCTTGTGTAAAAAAGTAGATTCATTTGTGCCCAAAGTGGAATGTTTTCATTTGCCCTGAGGGCTTCCTCTAGGTCCTGCCTTTTTTGCAGGAATTTGTTAAAATTGAAGTTGAATTTTACATTACAAATCCAGTACTGACATTTCTACGTACGCATAGGTACTGATTTAAAAATACAAAAATCGTAACTGGGACTAAAAAGGGATTTGTTCTTCTGCGTTTGAAGTAGGAGACTCTTGACACTGACATGAGAAAAAACAAAAACCAAATTTCTTTGGTTTTGTTTCACATTTTGTATTTAAGTGGATCTCAAGTACTTGTGAACAGATAAAGGCTTGAAGTTAGAGGTTTCTAATAAATTGGGGGTTTTGGATCAGTAGGGTCTAGGAATAACAGAAGGTGGGATTAGATCACTGCAAGATTTCTTTCAGTGTTACAATACGGTGTCTGAAAAGGGAGTACTATGTCATTTAGTTTATTAGGTATGGAACAGCGATTAATTCAAATCCTCATTTTAAAGTGAGCAAGAGTAAATTTAGAAGCACTTGTGTAGAGCTCTGTCTCTTCAAGGAGCTGTGAGCAGACCAGTAGAGGGCCCTGGCAACAGGCTCTCGGCCCGACAGCGCCGTCAGTACGCAAACATGGTGGTTGTTCCAGCTGCCTGCTCCCTCTCTGAATTGACCCACGTCCATAAATTGGATCCTTGTAGATATTAAGTACAGTAGTGCAGCGGTGATTGAGTATACACACACAGCTTTGCTTCATGTAGTCTGAAGACAGCTGAGATTATAGGTGTTGTTTACTGGCTCCCACTACTAACGCTGTCTTTTTTTCCTTCTGCCAGGGTCACATTAAAGGCTATATATCTCATCAGCACCAAAAGCTTGTGGTCAGTAAGCAGAACCCATTTCCTCCGCTGTCAACAGTGTGTTGAGAATTGCGTCTTAGCCGTGCAAGTACTTTTCAGATACTCAGCTTGTCCAGTGGAGCTGCTCCTAATCGCCCCGAGAATGCTGTAAATGACCTGGTTCATGTCCAGGACTGGAATACCAGGAACTGTTTGTGGCTCCTTTCCCAGAATGACCAGGGACCGCCAGTGTTACAAAGTGCATTGGAATGAAATGCTAACTTTTCAGTGATCGCTTCCGCAGGCTGTCTAGATCATTCAAAGTATTTCATGAGGAGATAAAGCAAAGCATTCCAAATTCCTTCCAAACTACTTAAAAGCTCTTACAAAGTACTTTGTGTTACTATTTCTGCATTTATCTTTCAGACAGGAGAAGTATCGTCCTTTGTTGCCTGTGTTAATCCATTCTTCAGAATGGAAATTATGTTTTCTTTCATAGTTTCCATTTTTTTTCACGTCTTTTCAGTAACCTTACTGGTACTAAATACTCTCTCCAAGCTTTCTCTAAAAACTAGAGAAGTACTTGACACCAAAAGCTTTACTGTGTCAGTGATACTTACAGGTTCAAGTAAATGTGTGATTTTTGTCTGTAGGTACCCACAGATGGGTTTGGGTTTTGTTAATTCTGGTAATATTTTGTTTTGGTTTTGTTATGATGAACAAAAGCTTATCTAAGTAACTTAATCCATACTCTCTTTTTTTCTGCTTCTGGGGAAAACACTGCCACTGGATCCGTTATTCTAAGTGTTACTACCTTGGGAGTTCTGTTTGTTTGTTTGGGGGTGGTACAATGTAACTTTGTCCACAGTGAGGGGATGGTAGTTTGGGGTTTTCTAAATTATTTTGAAAGAAAATAAAACATTTTTTTTCCCCCCTCTTTGAGAGCTGGGTTTTATTTTACCCACTAACTGACGTGGACGTGATTCATAAGGAAAAACACAGGTACCATGTCTAAGGGGAAACATTTTTTTAGTGTGGTGAGAGTAGTCAAGTCCTACATGAACATAGGCATTGAAAGGCTTGGAGTTCCCCTAGTCTTCTTAAGTTTTACTTGTATGGATGCTGAAATAAGAATATGAATTCACTGAATCAAACTTCAGGGTAACAAAAATTCAAAATACTCATTTTTCTTCTAGCAACATTTAAAATCCCAGAAAAACATCAATGCTTTTTGAGTTATAGGATGAACAGTTCTAGGAAACTTAAAAGTTCAGTCATTTTTTAGTAAAATAACTAGGTTTACCACATCATGGCTTTCACCATACTGTGCGTCAGCAGAAGGAGGAAAGATAAACAGGCTTTTCTGTATGAATTGGAGTTACATACATATCATTGCTGCAAATAGTGATAGAGAGTCAAATGGTGGGTGTATTGCCTGCATCCAAATGTTTCCTTGCAGTGATTGGTAGGGGTTCGGTGCTGCAGAGTTGGTTGTGTTTGTATCTTACTTCATTTTTTGTTTAAACCATATCATATACCTCGCAGTGTTAGTGAACAGAAGTGCTTCCTGGTCAGTGTCTTCAAGTGGCCAAGATCCCAGGATACCAGTCAGAAACCAAGTGCCCTTATACTCAGTAGCTACAAAGCTTCCTCCAGCCAGTCGTTTGTCTACAGCCTCCTGGAGGTGTCCACAAAACTGCCTGTTTGTGAGGCTAATGTTGAGTATTTGTTTGCAGTCCTCAGCAGGAAGGTATGAAACGTGCAACTCCTCACCTTGAAGTTCATCACCTTCCATTCCCCAGCCACTGACTGTACCAGCCAGCTTGGGAATTAAAACGTGTTCTGCAAAGTCTCTTTCAGGGGTGCATACAGGAAGCTGGTGGTTGTTGCACTCAACGTGTTCTTGGAGTTGTAGTAATGCAATGTTGTTCTCACCAGTGTCTTCATCATACCGGATGTGTATGTGTTTCTCTCTAACTTGCATTATCTTCTCAGTTCCACACGTTCTGTTCGGCCCTGTGAAGCAATGACATTTCACTGCTCTTAGGAGTAATTTATGAGACACCTGAAAACCGCATGCAAACTGACGACAGCCTAAGCATGCTGAGACATATGTGCAGCAGGGAAACTAAAGGTGGTCTTTCTTGAAACTGCTACAGTAAAGGTCAACTACTAGGAATGATATATTGGCAGCTTTTTAATGCTTGTGTAGAAGTATGCATGATTCAGAGGGAAGGACAAATGCCCAACAAGAGAAGTGAATTTTTAGCATGAAACAAAAGCCACTTCTAAATCCACCTGGTTTAGCTTATCCCTAGGTGCTGAGTTCTGAATTGCATTCAATAGGCAGTCGTCTCTGCTTGGCTGGTAGGGGGGGAATGGGGCAACTGTAGTTCTGGTTTGAGATACATCAGTGAGATGCTCAAGTGAGATGACAGCAGATATGTTTCCTTTTGCAGTATTTTTATGCAGCAAAAATTTTAGTAAGCTTTTTATGAAGTTAGCTTGTCAATACTAAAATGTGCTGCAACAATAGAAAATAGGTTTGATCACCTACCAGCACCAACGCTGATTTCAAAATGGCTGTGCAGAAGGGCACACTCTGCTGTAGTCAGTACGAAGTTACTTTTTAGCAGCACTCCTCCACAGAAGCCCTTCCCTTCTGAGGTTAGCAGCAGGACCTAAGAAAATGCAAAAAGACAACGGAGTGCACTGTCCATGTGAGGTTGAGTGATGGGTTTCATGAATTGCTAGAAATACCTGCCAAGGAAATCGCTCATCACGTTTCCTCCCGGTTTCACTTATCAGATTATCACTGTCTTGAAGTCTGCCACATGCACATTGATCTATTGAATTAAAAAAAAAAATCAAAATCTCATGACGTATCATTTCAAGACAGCTAATACCTGCAAATACCTTATTGCTTCCACCTTGACTTTGGGGTTTTGTTTTTGCACCAAGGAAAAGGAGGACAACAGTTTCTCAGCTGGTGAAAACTGGTATTATTTGCTTGGCACCTGTAGTCTAATAGCTTAGGGATGGCACTGAACATTTTGGGTCATTGCGTGAGGGTTGTGGTGACCAGATTCACTGTATCCGTAGCTAATGAAATGAGGCTTCCCCTCCAGCCAGCCATCAGCACAGCTTGCTTCCTCATCTTTGTATCCTGTATTCGAATTGCGCCCAATACCTGATAGCTGTGGCCCAGTCTGGACAAGGTAAATCCCAGGTTTACCTTGCTGAAGCTATTACTCTGGGGATGTGCATGCCTTTCTGTTCTGGTTCAAACAGCACGTGTGCTTTTTGAGTGGATCCCCCAGCTACTTGCACTTGTCACACTTTCTGTTCACCTCGTGGCATGGTCTTGGGTCACACAAACTGGATTCTGTTCAGGTGAAGCTAAGCCAGAGACACCCTCAAGGAGCACATATGTGCTCTCATAGCTAATGGGTGCTTAGTCCACAGGACCAAACTAGAGCTAGTCTGAAGTAAAGGCCACCTGATGTGGACTGAGTGTGGACAGCAAGCCTTCCTCACCAAAAGCGTGGCTTTATAGCTCCCATTTGGCTGCCTTACTTGCTAATATAGACAAGGGCCCAAGTATACTTTTAGTAGACCTAGTTTATAAGGGGATGAGATACCAAGTATGAGATTGAAAAAATGAAGAGGGCTACTGCTTCAAGCTAGTTAACACGGCAGCAGATGTTGCCCTTCATTTATCAGACCATCAGGTGCCTGATGGAAATCAATTGAATCTCATTCCCAAACAGACAGGTCCTCAGTGGCGTTACTCTTTACCGAGCACGGGAGTGGAAAACCTGGCCCAGTGAGTAATATGTAGGATGATGCAAGTCCTCTCTGCAGACCCATGTTTAAATGTTCAGATCAAATATCGCTTCCTTTACCACTGCTCTGGCATCTTGGGTGGTGGTCCCTAGATTCCTCCTTTCTCTGTCCATTTTGGAAGGTCAGTAATACTCTCATCACTTGAGTCTCCAAGCAGGCTGATGGCATCTGGATATCAGAAGGGGTCCTGCCCACCCCAGCACTGAGCACGTACCCCCTGTACTTCCATGCTCACACCTACCTAACGCGATGCACTGTTTTTTGTCCTTCCCGAGCTCATAGCCGTCAGCGCAGGAGCAACGATAGGCATTGCTTCCCGGGTAGCAGAAGTGGTGACATCCTTCCTTTGCATGGTGGTGACATTCGTTTTTAGCTAAACAGAACAAGTGGAGAAAAAGCATTTGGAATACTTCCGCTGGAGTATTCTTGCATAGCTTGAGTCCTCTTTACTAAGCATTCTATTTTTACTCGCTTTATGTGGAGGTGGGTAAGGACTCTGGCTTGGTAGTATTCTCACTGCATTGTTTTTCCCCTTGTTAAGCAGAAACTTGAGACAGCTGTGTCTCTGCAGCGTCCACAGACTCATTGCAAACTGTGCTCACACAGCACCTCCCTGCACCAGGCTGTCTGCAGCTCTGAGTTTTGGGGAGTGTTAGACAAGGGTCAAACTAGGACTGCCATGTGAACACGTGGAAGGATGCCATGGGGTTTTTTTCTGCTGTCTTAAACAAAACACCAAGTATCTGCAGTCGGGGGACTGTTGCACATGTTAAGAAGGCAGGTATTTCTTGAGGAAGAAGGCTAAAGCTTTCTGGTTTTCAGCAAAACCTAATGCATCACTCTTATTTCTCACGCTTGTGCTAAGAAACCTAAAATTAACAGTGGCCAAAGATAAGGAAAGAAAAAGGGGGGCAGTATTCACCACCTCGAGATGTGCTCAGTTACCTTTCCATAGCTGAGCAAACACTTAAGCTTCAGCACAAAGCCACAGGAGGATCACTCATTCGATGGTGCACCTAGCTCACAGGTGAAGACGTAGCAAAAAACCTCACCTAACCTGGCTCTCTAAGGCTCATGTTGAGCAGATCCAGTTCCCAGCACTGGTCCAAGCCCTGTCACCTTCCGTGCTCCCCTAGAAGCTGGTCACAGTCCCACCCCTTATGCAGAAAATAGCCCTGCCTTGTGGCAGCCAGGGCCTCTGCCACCCCAGGGGACCTCCAAGACAGCAGAAATACCGATGTAAGGGCTGGAAAGTAGAACCTGGCAGACGTAAAAACGTAGGATCCAGCCCAGAGTGTTTTATGTGCCAGAAAGCCTCCATTTTGCTTTAAGCCTTTTGCCCTTCCACTGAAAACGGTTTGTTTTCCGGAGTCCCTCCGTCCTGAGGGACTGTCTTGTGGAGGTGTGTGGCCTCGGAAGCTCTGGGATGGCTGGGAAGCCACCCCAGCCCCGCAGCCCTGGTTCTTCAGGCCTTACGCCACCTGGGCCCGCAGCAGGACACTGGGGACGGGGACACCTCCCACTCAGGAGGGAGACACCTCCCACTCAGGAGGGGGACACCTCCCTCTCAGGAGGGGGACACCTCCCACTCAGGAGGGGGACACCTCCCACTCAGGAGGGGGACACCTCCCGCTCGGGAGGGGGGACTTTTGCTTCGGCCCTTTTGCTGCATCCCCCGAGAAGGGAGGCTCAGGGGGGAGAGGCAGCCTGCGTAACCTCGGGGTGCCAAAACGTTTCGGCAGGCGGGCAGCACGCATCACCTCCGCTCTGCCAAGGACCGTGCGTTTTAACCTAAAATAGGATAACCGGCCGTCATGGGACGTCACCGGCTGCGTGTGGTTTCCCAGGGACCCCCCCTATGAGAGGAGATGGGGCTTCTCGGAAGAGGGGCGATGCCTTACCGAAAGCACAGTTCTCTCCCTCGTAGCCCTCGGCGCAGGTGCAGGTGTAGCCGCGGATGCTGTCCTCGCACACGCTGTTGTGCTGGCAGGGGCTCGACGAGCATCTCCTGCCGCCTGAAGAAAGGCCACAGGAGAGGGACGAGTCACCGCCGCCGAATTACGCAGCCCCCTTCCCGGCCCGCGAGCCCCTCGGAGAAGCATTGCGAGAAGCCGTTTGGAAGGAAATGGGGCTATGTCTCACCAAACTGCTCCTCAGGAGTCATTTTAGCTCCTCAGGGGTAATTTTAGACTCTCCGCTCCCAGAGGCACTCCTGCAGCCTCTGGCAGGGAGGCTGGGGAGTGCCCGGGGCAGAGCCTGCTTCTGGAGGATGGATGCTCTGCTTCGGGGAAAAAAACTGCCTTACAGCTCATGTGCTCACTGCAAATGTAATGTCAGACTGGTGGTTTAGGTCTCCCGTGGTAGGTTGATACACACTGGATAAAAAAAGCTGACATCAAAATTATACAGCAAGCAACACCAAAATAGGAGGAAATCTGGCTTTTACACATCCGTAGAATTATTATACAGCAGCTCAGACACCAGCAAGCTTAGTCTTGCTGATGAACCATATGCTGAAACCAGAGGATGTCCTCTCTGCAAGTGAAGCACCAGGCAGAGTTGCCAGTTTCCCTTCCAGCTGCCCACTGGAAAGATTCCAAAAGAGTTTGGAAACCTTCTCCAAATAACAACTGCTTGGTGTAGAGATGGGCGATCAGGGAGCAAGCCAGAAAAACCTAGCCTGGGACATGGTCTCTAACCTTTCTAAAATCTAAAACTTCATTAAAGAGGTCAACTTCTGTCAGCAGGCTGCCATAATTGGTATTAGGGATGGAAAGGTGAAAACCCTGCCTGGTACTGGTGAAAAAAAAAAACCCAAACAAACATCATCTGCTCAGGCTATGGGCATGTGTATCTTTTAGCGTTAGTGGTACTGAAAAACTGGCTTAAAGCAGTTACCACCTTCAGCCCACCTGCAGTCAGACACCATCGGCATACCCTGGCTCAATTTAGGTCTCCTGGGAGGGTTTTTAAGTGGGTTAGGGGGTGGTCATCAGCACAGCTGAGCAGCTAGAGTTGAGGAGTGAGGATGTCCAGCAGCAGTGGTCCGTTGCTCTCGCTAGGGAAGGGCTGTACCTACAGCCTGAAGCAAGTTAGATGGTTTCGGGCCTCTGACGTGCATGCTCAAATATAGGTGAGGAAGTCTCAAAAAATGTCTGGGGTCACGCGAGGTTCTGCAAGACTGGGAAAAAAGTAAATCTAGTCCCTAGCTTTATTAAAGGAGGAAAGAGAGGATTCAAGGAATTATAGAGAAATTGGCATGGTTTCTGTTACTGGAAAGCTACTGGAATGATTAAACAGTTTGTAAGCACCCAGCAAAATAAGAAGGTGGTTAGTAACAACCAGCATGCATTTTTCAAGATCAAGTAATCCCAACCAATTAAATCTCATTGCATTATAGGATAAGGAACCTAGCAGGGAATCAATGAACATCGTAGAATATAAATGTCTCAGATGACATGGTCTTTAAGTGAGCTAGAAAAACACAGACATAAGGCGCACACAAAAGTGTTTGAAAAAGTATGTTTAAAGAGAGATTACCATTAGCTAAGTTTATACTGTTAATATAAGGGGGTAAGGGACAAGTGTCGCCTCAGGCCAAGGCTGTGTACACCCACACTAGAGCAAGAAGGCACTGCATCAACTTTGACTTGAAGAGACCAAGGTGGAGCAGTACAAAACAGAGCCAGCAGTTAGGTGGGTGCTCAGCCTTTCTCCCCAGCCCTCTTCTATTTACAATGCAGAGCCACCCTCTGTACCCTGAACTACGGAGGGAAAGCAACACACACACCAAAAGTCTAGAAAATGAGGCTTGGGAAGATAGGATGAAAAAATGGGGTTGTTTAGTGAGGAGGAAAGAAGCCATGAAGATACACAGCAACGCTCTTCAAAATGTTAGACAAGATATCACAAAGAAGGAAACATACACTGCTATTCTGGAGGAATAGGATAGGACATAGTGGCTTTTAATTACAGCAAGGAAGCCACCCCTGAGGCTTAAGCCAGTAATGAATCCTGACTGTGGCTATGCTTGTTTGGATGGATCATTCTCAATTGGTTGCCCTTCTCTCTTCATAGACTAGAGAGGAAGCCTGCATGACATGCTTAGTACAAACATCCAGTGACTGAAATTAGAAGTTAATCCCACCCTCACAGAAGTGATGAAAGGCCAGGTACTTAGCATCATTCTTCATAACATTTATATCACTAATGAGATTCTTCTATGTAATGGTTCCCTAGACTCAGTGTTTTAGTGGCTTCTGCAGAAAATTAATACCAGCTGCTGCTTTTGCCACCTGCTTATCCACTGTTTAAACCTAAGATTAGAAATTAATAAAAGCTAAGTTAAAAACAAGATAAAAACTTAGGACAAGGCATGCAGAAAAGGGTGAGAGGGGAATAAGGCATAGTCACCCTAGGCCAGAGCCCCAGGTTCTTTGGTCAGGAGGCATCTAGTTACATCAGCCTCTCAGCCTTTACAGATTCATTTTTTGCCTTGAAGGCTGCCAAGGGATGATGCAGTGCCAGCGTCCAGAGTTTGCAGACAGCCCAGTAGCTTTTAACACCTGTTTACCTCCCTCAGATTGAAGTGCTAGGTTTGTATTTGGGAGGTTTTGCTGGTAAAGCTGCACTTCTCTATTGTATCAACAAAGCAGACTTTCTCAGGTCCCAGCTTGTTTCAGAACAGCCTTAAGTTCAGGAAAAGAAATAGCCTATTTACTATGGTAACATCTATTCATCTTCAATTTTTATTCACTTTGCAGTCTTACATGTTTTTTTCCTACTTATTACTTTTTTAAACCTTTCCCATCAACACTTTTCCTTCTGCTTTACTAGAAACATGACAAATAGCAACTGTTTCTTGTAGGTTAAACTGCTAAAACCTCTCAGAAAAGCAGCATTGGACTGAATCATCATGCTCACTGTGTGACACCACTATGAAGGAGAGAAACCAAGAGGCCAGCTTACCATAGTAGGCATCCCAAAACATTTTCTGGAAAAAAAAAAAAAAGGAAATGAGATTTTAATTCTCAAGTAATACAATTTTCCATAAATCTTCTGATAAAACGAAAACATTATATGAGAGAATATATTCTATGGTTTAACATTTACACAGTCGCACGACTGCAAATTCTGCCCTGCCAGCAAAATTTGAATGAGATGGGAGGGGGGGTTGCATCCTGCTTATTTTGTTGTTTCGCGAGAAGCTATAAAGGAAAAGAAACACTTTGCAGGCAAGAGAGGAACGGCTGCACCCTTTAGCAGTATGGCTTCCTGGAGAAACTGGCTGGCCGTTGTCTCCCTGGCGTGCAGCGGCCTGGGAAGTGACCCCATCCCATCCTGTCCCGTCCTGTCCCGTCCTGTCCCGTCCTGTCCCCCAGCAGGTGCTGCTGGAGGCAGAGGGGACAGCCGAGAGCCGAGCTGCAGGTCACCAACGCCGGTCACCACCCTCACGCGCCCCGCTTTTCCGTGGGTACACGCAGCCTTCCCCTCCCCGAGTGGGCGCCTCTCCCCACTCCCTGTACCCCCCCTCCGCCGGCTTTCCCCGCGGCACCCGGACCGCCCGCCCGCCGGCTCTTTCCTCTGCTTTCCCTGCAAACACAATCTCCGGCCAGATTCCCACCAAAGAGCTCGTCATCCAGCTGTACGTGTCAGGAGGGCCTCTTGTACGAGGGGACGTGCAGCCGCTGACCCAGTGAGCCTCTTTCTACAGGTCCCGCGGCTTGCCGGTGCATTTGCCTCCCTCCATCCCAACTCCCCCTTGCCCCTCCTTGGTCCCTCAGGGATGCTGAGGCTGTATTTCTGTGTGCGGTCAGGATGGGACAACAGCCGCATACTTTCACGACATAAGGCACAGGACACATCATTTTCAGGAGGGGACTTTAAAAGTGTCAGAGCTGACCTCTGCGTTTCCATTTTGACCACTGAAGACACCTGCTTTGCTTTCTACCTGCTGAGATGGAAAGCACAAAGATTTCACGTGGAGAGAAACCCAAGCAAATGAAGCAGGCTATGAAGCTGTATTTGACAGTAAAGAACCAAGGCAGTAATTTTTATTATGCACTCAGGAAAACAAAATACTTACAAGCATTTCATCATTTTCAAATACTTCTCTTGCTTCTTCCTGCGTACATCTCTCTTCAAGGCATTCCCTTTCCAAGCTGCCTTGGAGGACCTCCTCCAAAAGTAGGGAACTGGCACGCCGTTGTCTCTTGATAACATTATTTGCATCATCAGCTGATATAAACACTGGAATGTTGTATGACAAAATGCTACTATAAGTACTTAGATTCATTTCCTTATATACTTTTACCTTATTTTTTAAATGACAAATTCTTCTGGCTGATTCAGGGTTTCAGTTTCGTCATTAACCTTACCTATGGAAAGGACCCTACTTTCTTATCCCAAGGTCAGATGAGGAGTTGTGACCTTTTACTATTGGGGAGTGCTTGACTTGCTCCCAAGTGGGGAGAATTTGAAGTCATTCCCAATGTATTTTTTTCCTGCACCAGACAGACAGAGCAGTGTTACTGTGGCACAGCCAGAGAAAGGGGAAAAGGATTATCGTAGAGGCAGAGGCTATTTTGTAAGACTGTATGGGGCTTTCAGACTCATCAGTAGAAGTGAAAATTACTTGTATTTATTTATGATGATGGATCCAAACTGATGCCCTTTAGTCTTAGATCACAGGGATTTTTTTTGCTGAGAAGCAAAACTGATGTGGTTGACTTCTCAATCAAACCTCTCTTAGGTAGAATATATCAAAGCTACCCCTCAGCAGTGCTCAGAGTTAAGAGGGCTATATCATATACCGTCCTTTATGTGGAAGACACCATAATATTTTTGATTTAAGTAAAGAGGAGGAAAAATCAAAGATATGAGAATTATCAGATCTTAAAACTCCTCTTTACAATGATGCCTGCACAAAACCCGCCTGCCAGCCAGGCAGCTGGTGCCATGCTGGAGCTTGTTGCCTTTGACATTAAGCAGTATGTGGTTGTGTGTGTCAGCGTGTGGTTGTCAGTTTTCCTGTGTTTAGAAAGTAAACCCATTGTGGCAGGGACAGTTTCGTTCTGTTTTTTTGTTTTTTTGTTTGGGTTTGTTTTTTTTTTTCTGTTGCTTTGTTTTTTTTTTTTTTTAATTTTATACAGTGTTTGGGGGCCCCGAACTTCTAGGCACAAAGGTTGAAATAATCAGTAATAGTAGGATTGGAAAAAGTGACAGCAATAACAAAATTATTCTGAAACTGCATACAAATGCTTAGTTATGCTTTTTGAAGGATATCCAATAAGCAACAGGTTTGCATGTGACATTAAAAAAGAAAAAGCTTGATGACTGTGTTTTGCATTTTAAAGTGTTATCTTACGCCCCAGTGCACATTTCTGCCATGCAGTGGTTCCGATGCATCCAGCATGATGGGCAGTGCACTTCTGATGCTGCCAGGGCATTTTGAACCTTCTTAAGCAGTTACCATCTTTTTCTTCCTTGCCCAATTGCTCCTTATTTTTGACAAGCCATAGAGGATTGATACAGAAACATACATTTCTTCAAGCTATAATAAGCATGCATCTCAGCCTCTTTCATAGGACTCTTTTATTTTTATTTCAGCAGCAACTGGAAATATAAAACAAAATTCTCTTTAATATCTGGAGCACTCTTTAAGAATGATAAGAAAAGACAAAATATTACCCTGGTGTAAATGATGGTACCTCAAAATTACATTGCCTCAGTAATCTACCTCAGTTTTTACACAGCTGTATGAAATAACAGAAGAAATGTAAGGAAAATAAGGAACAGACACGTTTTGGTGATGTCACCCTGTGCTATAAAGTAAACACAATACAAGGTATAAAATTACTGGTGTTTTTAGAGGAGCGGTAGCACAAACCAAAAGTAAAGCCACAACAAAACAAAGGCCATACCTGTCTGCTCTGTCTGAAGGAAAAGGTCAGAGAGAAGAAACAATATTGTCCAAGAGCACCTTGTCATTGTTACCCTCTGAGCCTAATGGCTGCCTGCCTGCATTCCTGCAGCTCTTGGGGGAAATGGCTACATGAGAGATGTTGAAGTTTAAAGTCCAGCTGCTCATGAGAAAACAAAACCTCTAAGGGCAAAGCCGCAATGTCAACAGATGAAAAAAAACTCAAAAAAAACCCCTGCTTAGTGATGCAACAGTGCCCCTTCTCTTAGTGCACCGTCTGAAGGTTTGCAGGTTTGCCAGCTCTGTTGGGAGCTGCTCCAAGATTTGGGATTCCTCCTACCCTCCAGCCTTCACAAAACAGGGAGAGATGAACAGTATCAACATTTCTTTGTACCATATCAAAGCACAAGCTGGATGATGACTACAGGGCTCCATTTAGTGGCGTGGCTTTTTCATACGCTGTCCCCACAAAACATTTGCCAAGGGTTAGCTGCACTGGTCAAATCCCATCAGTTTTTGGAGCAACCAAGAAACCAAGCATGAGACTTCCCCCGTAGGGATATATGTGAATGGATATGGAGTTTTTCTTTTTCACTGTTAGGTTTGTACTGCCCAGCCATGAAGGAGAGCATGGGAAAGTCTTCCTTACTTCAGGATCTGGGTCACACACAGACACACAGAGTCTGTGAAAGGAGGTGTAAGTATGGAGAGGACCAGAGCACCTCCCCGGGCCCCCGTGCCATGCACCCAGCAGCCGGGGTGGCCCTCCTGCCTGGCCTGGGGTGAGAGGAAGGATAAACCCACTGGCGTGCGATGGCAGTGGTGGTGCAGAGATTTTTTTGGATCCCAGCACAGGCAGGCTGGTGGGAAGAGCACGAAAACATTTCTACAGTCAAAGCAACAACTGGTGAGAGGAAACGTGTGGGGGGGTTTATCTGAGTTAGAAACATAGAGACCATTCTGTGTTTTCGTGTCATAAATTCCCAGCTATTATTTGAGTATGCAGCTCTTCTAACAATCCATCTGAGCATTCACAGGTAAATCCCGAACAAAACTTCACTTCCCATCAGTTGCAGCTTTTAAAACCAGTTTCACGGAGTACCGAGGCCGGTGAGTGAAGCAGACCACACGCTTCACAAAGGCCGGTCCCTGCCAGCCCAGGGCTGACGTTACAGCTCACATCACGGCCCCTAACGCCTTCAGCAAATCATTAACCTCCGCGTTAAAACTGCATCGTGAGAGGGCTTGCCTGCACAGTCTCTGCAAAAATGTTGTTCCAGAAGTTCACTCAGAGTTAAAACCCTTCTAATAACAGGCTTGATTCTATTCACAGCCACTTCATAACCTTACGTATTTGTTTTTCCTTCCTTGATATTTCTGCAGAACTAATATAGCCTCCCATCCTCTCTAGTTAACGGTGTTGAGCTTTCTTTATTAAATGAGCTCTTCCTGCTCTCCTCACTCCTCTGAGGCCACCAAATCCCATTGTGCCCATCCCAACTGGCAGTTTCTTGACTGGGGAACTCGGGGGGCTGTTGCCAGTGGTCACCCCTGGGGGGTGGTGGGGGCGCTCAGCCAGCACCTCGGGTTCCCCAGAGCCTCTGTGGAGGCTCACCTTGCCCTCCTCGCCTTGCACGGCGGTGGTTGTGTTGCTTTTCCATATTCCTTTGGCTGTCCAGCCCCACGGGAGCGCCTGGCAGTGAGGCTGCTGCTGTAGTTCCCCTCTGGCCTGTGCCTCCCTGCCTTTACCTTCCCGTGACAACAAATACCGCCCCGTGCACACGCAGTATGGCAAGCCTGGCTCCCGTCAGCTTGAAAAATATGTCACCACTTGATGTCAGCACAGGACTTTGCAGAACCCAGCACAAAAATGTGGATCTGCAGATTACATTTTTTTCATTTAAAACAAGCTGTTTAAGTTTTGCAAACCTGTATCAGTTAAGGAATTCTTGGAGGTACAAAGTAATTATTCAAATTAGGTTAATATTTACAACACAGAGCTTCAGGAGCTGTACTCTCGTCAGGTCTTAGTTTACATGGTCATTTTTTCTTACTCTGTTTTTTTTTTTTTTTTTTTTTTTTTTTTTTTTAATAGTATTCCTTCGCTGAGCAGCTGTGTCCTTGGGAATGGGCCACAGTGTACTCAGTATGTTATGGCACAGACTTTGCTTTTTCTGTATTAATATATCAATGCAACAGGCTTTACATTTTAATGCTTATATTACTATGGAAAATTGTGTGAAGAGAGGGTTTTAAAAGGGCACCCCTTTTCCTCACATCTTTGCTTATGAAGAGCTACTGGGATTTCTTTTTCCATTCTTTTAATTACCACAGTGAGCACATGGAGGTGTGTTTCATTAAGGAGTGCCACCCTTTATTGCCTGTAGCCCCACTTAAGGATTGCCTCCTGCTCCAAGGGTTACTCTTTCCAGCATGAAGCCTGCACACCGTGTCCGATATGAAATCTGCAGTTCCTCGGGAGGGAGGAACTGAGTTAGTCGGTCCTGCTTTAGCAACTGGTTCCCGTGGAAGCCCCCCCGGCTCCCCCCCAGCAGTGCGGCAAACCAGGGAAAGCGGGTTTGCAGACCTGTTGCCCAGGGAAGTGATGATGGGGCGGTGACGGGGACGTGCCAATGCCACCCACCTCGTGCTGTGGGCCCGGCCGGCCGTCATCCCTGCTGGGGGCTGGGGGCAGAGGTCCCGAGAAAGCTCTTGTCACACGCTTTCTGGAAACGCACACCTCAGCTAGCGAAAGGGGACAGCAGTTCTTTTCCAGAAGACATCACCCCCCCCCCTCCGCGCTAAGCAAATAACGCAAGCTGATGGCTGGGCTTGCCGCCGCGTTTCTCCCCGGGGGTGTCCTCCTGCCCAGCGGCACCCAGGCACAGCAGCTAGTTGTGTGTCGTGGACACTGAAGGTGGTTCAAGGTGAAACGGGCTGTGGTGCCTCTGCCCCGTGGCAGGAGGTACAGGCTCAGAGAAGTCATTCCAGCCTCCCCTCGCCCTCTGCAGCCTCTTCTTTTTTTGCATCAGCCCTCAACGGGGAGCTGGGAGCCCTGCGGTAAGGGGGAACCCACAGCTGCTTGCTGCTGCAGAGCTGTGAGGAGGAGGAGGAGGGACAGGGGCGAGGCCCATGAGAAGCAGAACCCTCCAGTGTTGCCTCGTACTGTGCCCCCCCACCCTGGTCCTGTGTGCCCGTTGCCAGACCACAGCTTTGGAAGCATGGGGGCAGAAGAAAATGGAAAAAGCTTTTTCAAATTAAAGAAGGCTCCCTTGCAGAAAACTGTTGAGCAACAACAAAATGGGAGTGGATGGACTAGACTAGACGGTCCCATCTAGACACCAGCTGGTCCAAAACGGGGGACTGTGGGCACGTGTAGTCTTGGTCAAAAGCTAGCAATGACTGACACAAGCTAATCCTATTTACATGTCGGTGTACGCTCTCCTCGTGCGAAGCAGGGTTATCTTCATGCATGGTTATAAGCAGCACAGGTCTTCACATGTACAGAAGCTGCAAAAATGTCAGCCAAACTTTGCCTGACGAGCAGAGAGGAAGCACATACTCTGCAAAGGGCTAATGCTCAGTGTGGTTAAAGTGGGTTATAATTCATCTAAACACCCAGACTGTCATCAGTTCTGTTCACCACCTGCAGGAAAAAAAAAAAAAAAAAAAAGTTTTCCTTGTCAAATCCAAAATGCATTTCTAAAAGCTGGAGGAACTTGCAGCCATTTCAGAGGAGCATTATCACTGTCCTTCTGGTTTGGTTACAGATTGCAGAAAATCCTGGGGGACTGAGCCGGGGAGAGGAATGTGACCCTGGGGAGCTCTGAGTCTCCCCCACAGATGCTGCACCCACAACAAGGACTTGAACGTAGTCACAAGGTTGTGCAAGTCTCCTGACAGCTCGGCAATGAAAACAAAAGCCACCTTGGAACTCCTCTGACATCTGCCCCCTCCCTGGAAGTGTTTAAGGTCAAGTTGGACGGGGCTTTGAGTAACCTGATCCAGTGGAAGATGTGCCTGCCTGTGGCAGAAAGTCCCTTCCAACACAGACCCTTCTATGATTCTACGATGCCTGTAAATGAAAGCTCTGACATTTTCTATTTCTGTTTATACATATACTACTGCAATTGTTAATATTTCACTTATTAAAACACATTATTTCTTTACTTCCACCTTCATGTTTATTAATGTTCTTCATGTTTCTTAACCTTTTTTTCCCCACTTTTATTGTAATATCCTTTTCCCTGCCAAAATTGCAACCAATAAAACTGGGTATGGACCAGCCGAAAGATGGCAGAGCACGTGTACAGACAACACCGTATCACTTAAGCTCCTAGATATAGTTTCAGTGATGGATAAGAGGGTTTAGTAAGGTGGTTTATTTTGCCCTGAGATGAGAAATATCCTGATCCTCTGAGAAAAATGCAGAAAAATCACTTTGGAGTCTGTGCCATCTGGATGAGAATTTTATTATTTTTTCTCCATTTTTTTCTGATAATATCACCCCATTGTCCTAAGCTGGAATTCAGAATAAAAATGGTTAAGGATGGCTCACAGAGAAACCTAAACAGAGCATTTTTCAGGCAGCCTTCTAGAACACTGCTACACTCTGAAGTGGGCAATGAGGAGATACGAAAGTGTTTGGAGTTTACCTGGAATTCAAACTTTTTAACGCTGTTTCATGTTCCTCTCTCTTTCTGCCTGATTCTCTCCCTTGAGGTGGTGGGCAGCAGCCCTGCAGCTATGTCCAGATGTTGTGATTTTTGGTGTTCCTGTGGTCAGCCAGTAACTTCCTCTGCAGCAGATCTGGCAGGAGGGAAGCCCTGACCTGACCTCAGCAGCATCAGTGCAAAGCCAGCACCCGAGAGCTTCCACCCACGGCCCCGACAGGTGTAACTGGCTGGTGGAAGTGGCTTCTGCCATAAACCTGACACCCAAGTCATGGGAGACATGTTCCCTCTGGACTTGTGCAACTGCTACACTGCCGGACTGCTTTTGGAAGTTGTCTTCTGCATTTATGACAGGGGAGAAAATCCATCTATATTGAAAAATGATGGTGTCCTGGGTTGAGTGAGTGGTGGAGTTTTTTGGTGGCAGGGGAGGGGGCTATCGGGGCGGCCCCCTGTGAGAAGCTTCTCGAAGCTCCCCCAGCTCCACGTCAGCTCCACTTCTGTTTGGGAAATTAAGCCAATCGGCTGCGCCTCTGCGATAATGTATTTAAGAAGGGACGTGGTGACGGGCAGTGGGACTTGTGAGGAGGAGTTGCTGCAGCTGCATGAACACCAAGGTCAGTGGAGGAACGGAGGAAGAAAGGAGGGGGGAGGTGTGCCGGAGCAGAGACCCCCCTGTATCCTGTGGGGAGACGGCAGGGCGGCCCCCCCCTGCCACCCATGGAGAGCTACAGTGGAGCAGACACTGATTTACAGCCTGTTGTTCCTGCTCAGCTGATCAAGGTTCTGTGCCTGAAGAAGGCCGGGGTCTCATGGAAAAAAGGCAGCCCCGCTGCTGTAATTCAGCGCTGGGAGGATTGCAGCATGCGGGGGAGTCCCACGCCGGAGCAGCTCGGGAAGGGCTGCAGCTGTGGGAGGGAATCCAGTCAGAGGAAGTTAGTGACCCATGACGGAGCAGTGTGGGGAACGCTGCGGCCCGTGGGAGGAATTAAAGTCAGAGAAAGTTTGTGGAGGACTGTCTCCTGTGAGAGGGGGACCACGATGGAGCAGGGGGTAACAAGTTTTGGACACTCCCTTCACCGAAGATGAAAGAAGTGGCAGCACTGACTGCACCCCCCATTCCCTGCCCCTGCGCCACTGGGGGAGGAGGTAGAGATATCGGGAGCAGAACTGAGCCCGGGAAGAAGGGAGGGGTGGGGGGGAAGGTGTTCTCAAGATGTGGCAATGCTTCTCACTGTCCTACTCTGGTATGTGTTGTTAGTGTCTGTAATAAATGTATGTTCTTTTTTTTTCTTCCCCTAACGAGTCTGCCTTTTGCTCATGATCATAAAAGGGGGATTTTCCCCCATCCCAGTCCTATCTTGGACCCCAAGCCTGGCTCTCTGTCCCTTCTCATTGCCGGAGGGGAAGGGAGAGAGAGGTGCTGCATTGTGGTTGGCTGTCAATCAGGCCTAAACCACGACAGATGGCAAAAAAAGCTTATTCAAGTTTCAAAGTAAATCTTCCAGGATGACTCGAGTTAAAACTCTACCCTCTCTGTAAGGACTCAAATAGCATTTTGGCAGAGCACAGATGACATGATGTGTGCCTCGGTGTGTGTCTTGAGTGAGAATTGCAATTCTCTGTGCAATTCAGCAGCTAGGATAAGTGTCCCTGCAGATGGAATTTGTTCTTATCTGGTAATGTATATCTGAGTAGGTTGATGATGGTATTTCATGCCTGACAACACAAACTGGGAGGGGAGGAAGGAGAAGCTCAGATGACTGGTTCCTCTGAACATACATTGAGCCAAAGACAATGACTGAAGCCCACTGAAGGTCTCCATACCTTTCGTAATCGTTTATGAATAAACTAGGAGTGCTGCATAGACAGGACAAGTGGTAAAGCAGGGTTGGGTAGGAGGAGAGATGGACAGCAACGAGGGAATGGGTCAGCAAGAACAAGCCCTGTGCGGTGGCCTCCCTGTAGTCCCTGGGACACGTCTGAGCATGGCCCACGGTTCCATATATCAGGTTTGGCTCTCTCAATATATAGTTTTGGGCTGAACTACAATCAGAGGTTTCAACGGAGGTCCTATGGGAAGTCAAGCAGGGGTAAATCCTGTGGAGCAGTGATGTCAGAGGGTCACGTCATGCAGCCATCAGGGGCTGAACTTCTTTCTTTGGCTTGAATACCATGACCTGTAATCTGCTGTCACTCCAGGATTGAGTTCATTTCGCAGTTCTGGAGTTCAGGAGATGTGTCAGAGAAAAACAGGGGGAAATTATACAAATGGCACCGACCCCAGCGTGATTTCTCTGAGTTTTTCATAGCAGAACAGGCCAGTGGTCATTGCAGGACAAATTTAACTGCCCTATTTCTTTCAGACTGATCAACACAATCCATATTAAAAATTACTCCAAAATGGTGACTTTCACACTCACAAACTGGAGATTGTGAAGTTGGGGAATGAGAAAAATGTTGCACTCTTTATGCCACAATATAATTTGTAACATCTCTCTTTTCCTTCTCTTCCAAAATATGTACTGACAAAAGTACATCACAGAGTAATTCATTTTTCTGTAGAGACTCAGACATCTTAATATTTAGTTCACCATTTTTATGGACCACTGAGCTGTCTGAAAAGCAAGTCTTTTTTACCTCTGGATTGAAATAAGGCAGACAGAAGATGTCAGGTTCAGCTGATTAGAGAGTCAGGCTTTTCTTAGTCTTGAAAGATTATTTGTTCCTGTAGATTTAAAAACTTCTTAGTTGTGAATAGTTTAAATAGCACTTGATATAAATGATGACATACAACAATATTGAAATTTGTAAGGTGTGCAATGCATTCACTTTATTATAGACAAAATGACAACATCAATAATGCTGTTGAAGAAAGTATCTCAGAACCAAAGCAGGAAAATGTCAAAACACCAGCAAGACTTTCCAATTCAATGAGCTTCATCTAACAACTCATATGATTCAGTGATGTGCCCAGTTATATAGACTTGTGTGAATACATGTTTTTTTTTTTTTTTTCATTTTCTAGCTTTTCCTGTGTACACGCATATAAATCTAGAATATTAGGTAGCTTTTCCACAGGCTTTTAAAATGCTGTCCTACTCTGATACTGTCTTGCTTTGATACTATCCTAGTCTAGTTTTTTTCTATAAAGCATGTACTGTCACAGAAATGTTGAGTTAGTTCCAACTTTCATTGCAATTGGAGGGGGCTTATCAGCACAGACAAAGCCTCCAATAGACAAATTTAAGTTATCACAGCAAGAGCAGAAGGAGTTCCTAAACCATTTGAAGAAATTTCATTATCATCCAAAACCAGCAAACTCTGTTGGACGTCCAAGCACACCTTCCAAAAACTGGGCATTAGCTCATGAAGGAATAGATAGTATCTCTTAAGGGAAGCACAAACTATCAGAATTTTAGCAAGAATATTAAAAAGAACAAAATATTACTTAGGGATCAGATCTGATGGCTAAGATAGTTAGATTGATTAAATGTCAAACTGTTAAGAGTCTCCTGTTAAAACACCTCTTACCCAGGGCAGGAACTTTGACAAGTTGGTGTATACTCCGTATTTCCCTTGCCTTCCACATCCTTCTCCCCAGCTGATGATACCAGTAACAAAATAAGTGCCACTGTATTGGGTTACATGGGGACCTCCTCCATCTCCCTGGCAGACATCTTTTCCATCTTTATCATAACCAGCACAGAACATGTTTTCTGTGACTGGACTATGAAGGGCGAGCTTGCAAGTGTCCCTGTCCACATAAGGGATTTGAAGCACTTTCATTCTTTTGACAGGCCGTGTACGTTCCAATGTGTTCCCAAAGCCACTGACAATTCCAAATGTCTGTTTCATCAGAATGTCGATGGCAAAGTCTTCTTCTGGAAGGCATGCTGGGACAACATCCTCAGAAAATGTGATAGGTTCCTCTAATTTGAGAAGGGCTATGTCGTTATCAAAAGTTTCCTTTACAAATTCAGGATGTACAATTATTTTTTCCACTTTGTGCATTGCTCTACTTGGCTCTTCCTTTTCTTTGTCCACCATCCCTGTGTCAGATTATTAAAGTAGTTGTTAACAAGACAACACCAACAAGTCTAAGCTTTTTAAAATCAGAACTTTGCTATCAGAGTAATGCCCTCAATGAAAGCTTTGCTATAAAGTTTTGGGCTTCATTACAATATTCCCAATGGCACTTATGATATACTACCAAAAGCCTCAACACAGAAGAGAAGGATCTTGTCCCTCTCATTTGTAAAGCAATATAATCAACATAGACTTAAATAGGAAAGAGATATTCGTTGTCTTTTAAAACTTTAAAGTCCTGCATACAAAAATTTACAAGTTTATATATATTTAGTCTTTCTCGATTTGTATAAAGTCTCTTTGGGAATTAAATGGACAGACAATTGTAGTTTAGGCAAACACAATTTTCGCTTTATTGTTGTAGGCTGAGTTCAATTTTTAAGACTCAGAAAACCGTTTTTTCAGTGCCTAGAACTTGTGATAAGCTACTTTTTCATAAATGACAGTAATAAATAATAAATTTGAGGTTTCAAGTATGGATCAGTCTCAGAATAGTATATACATGCTGTCAAAGCAGTTATTGCTAACCTCCGAGTGAGGCATCTGGAATTCTTCAAGGTTTGGCCTACACAGGAAATTGCATAAAGGTGTGATGTTAGACCAATTTAACTACATTAGCTCAACCTGACTTGCCTGCATACCTTCCCAGTTTATACTTGGCTTCTGTCATATACAAAGCTACACTAGGCCAAGCCAAGCTTAAAGTAACTGTCCATTCAGCAAAGTTGAACATGTATTTCACTGTTTGTCAAGAAACAAGATGAGGCAGGGAGAGATAACAAGAGGGTAAGAAAAACTCTGTCAGAGTTCAGTGTCTTGCATATGGAGACTAGAACATAGGACAGTTTCTTATTTTTGTAGTAAAGGACAAAATGAAAAGCACTTACCAACAAGAACCCATAACCCTTCGAACTGTTTAATGCAATGAGCTCCAGAAAGTATAAAATACTCATTCAAAATTGTCCCCCCACAAAACCATTCATCGTACTCATCTGTTAGTAGAACAGCCTGCAAAGAGAGAGAAAAAAGCTGAAGCACAGAAACATATGTACAGAGAAATCCTGAACAGTTAGCTGAGACTCAAGCAGTTTTCTTAAAGCAGACATCTTCATATGTATTTTCTGTCAAAGCCATCCTTCATTCAGAGGTGGTGAGCGTTACACTGAGGTGTAGCCGCCACAGCAGGAAATTCGTCAAGACAGACTTTTTTCCTGGCTCAAACCAGAGTTTGTGCCTTCAGCTATTTTACCAACAGTATTTGCTTGTTATTTTTAAACCAAAATTTAGCTAAGATTGTAATTATTGTAATAGCAATGTTCCTAGTTAGGTTTTTTGTTTCACTTTAGTCCTGGCCACAGCAGGAACTCAGGCTATTCTGTTACCGCCGCGCCACAACCCAAATAACGGGGTGGCTGGCAGGGAAGGGACCCCGGGGCTCACCCAGCTCTACATCCCCGATCTGCAACCCGACTTCTCTCCTAGCCTCCCCCCCCTCAGCATTTTCTTGATTCTGAAACAGAGGCACAACATCATTCATGGTAGGAGACCCGTGCAGAATCACAGTCCTCAGGGGAGTGGAATGACCACCCAAGATGTTGACACCAGGGAAGACTCTCTCTAACCAAGCCAGGTCCTCTTGGCAATCAGGGATGAGCACGATGAAGAGTAAATGGCTGCTGGTCCTGGTGAGTGGGGTCAGGTGTTAAACATTTCAGGACAAGGGCACCTTACCTGCCACGGGGTCACTCTGGGTAAACCGCCAGCCTCCCCGGTGACCTCCGGATGGCCGCTCGGGGCCTTGGCGGTTTCCTCAGTTTCAGGATTAGCCTCTGGACTTGCTGTAGTTCCTGTCACTTTCTCCTGTCCAACTTCATGATTTCTCTGAAGCTTACCACAGGGGAACTTGACTGAAAAGGCAAAATCAAAACGCTAATGCTTGATGTCTGGATGGTACTGTGACTTTGAGGCACGCATTGCATGCTGAAATCAAGGTGTTCCTGTCCGTAACACTGAGCAAACAGTTGTGAAGGCTCAGCTGCTGTCCCCAGTCTTTACTTCAGCTCAGAGCTACCTTTCTTGCTGATTTAAACCAATATATAGGATGTGGGGGATCACGGTCTTCTGTCTCTGGAGGGGATGGTGCCTGTGCTGTCCCTGAGGCACCAAGCCAAGTGACATGCAAGGGATAGTAACCTCCAGCAGAGCAGAAGGACAGACAGTTGCTCTTGACAACACTTCTGTCACCATGAAGTGCCAGTCAACAGAGCTTGTCTGACCTAGCCCTTGGTATAACGGACAGTTTCATGGTCAGAAAAGTAAATCCAGCTTCGAGTGTACCTCGTGGTGTTCTTCATTGCAAGAAATTATTCAAACCTGCTGGAACATGGGTTTTGCAGTCAAAAGCAGCCTTTAGAGTTACAGATAGGTACCTACAGTGGAGGAAAACGATTCGCAGGGAAACAGGTCACTTTCATGGATCAGCTCTTCATTAAAATGGGAGAAAACTTGCTTACCACAAGGAAAACTCCTTGACAGGAGCCTTTTGCAATCAAATTAGACGTGCAGGTGTCCTTATCAGGGTTGGCTCTGCTAGATTTTTCAAGACATTAAAAAAAACTTTGCAAATGCAAAAAGACCAGGATGCTTGAAAAAATAAAACCATTTTCCACTTCTAAAACTTGCCCATTTTGAGCAAGTGAACAAACGGGTTCAGCATTTTCAAAGTTTTTAAAAGTTAAACGTCTTCCATTATTTTTGTATACCTGCTGCTATTATTTTCTTTGTAATTGGGAAATAGAGCAAAATATTCTATGTTAGGAATTAAAAGCTCATGACAGCAATTTGGTATTAAATTACAAAGGGCATGATAACAAATATCATCAGTCAGAAGAATAGACTAAGATTAATAATTGTTTATGTTCACTTTGAATGCAGGCAAAACTGAAGGATTTAAACTCAATGTCAGTAGTTATTCATGTGTTTAGGTTACTACATGTTAACTGCAGAAAACCTGCTTTTAGAAGAAAATAGAAAGGTAGGTTGTATTCCTTTTAGAGGGAACGTGATATTTGAGGGGAAACAACTGAGATATAACCGCAATCACATTATGTCACTGCCACTAAAATTATAATGAGTCCTTGCGAACTGTACGCTGTAAAGGGAGACGTTTCCTGGGTTCCTACTCATCTGGATCTGTAGGTGTTCAGCACACCCCATAGGCCTTGAAAATAGACACCAGTTTTCACCAATGATAAATCTAATCCATTTCTTTCCAATAAAATCTCCCGAAGGCCCTTTTCAGTCTGTGAGAGAAGAGGAATATGAGCCCCGTTGTAATCATCTGTTTCTCATATGGCTTCATACCTGCTGGGACATGGGTTTCGCAGTCTGCTCCGAGGATGCACTCACTGGCACAGAACACTTCTGTGAGCTATTTTTGCTCCTGCACATCGCTCACAGTTGCACAATTCGATGTTACTTAAATTATGAACTTTAGCTAAGATTTTATTAAATTTGTTGGCAACAACTCAAGCAAGCCATGTGCAAAGGCGTGAACAGTTAACATTATTTATTCCTTATGCTACAACGGCACTGCAATACACCAATGCTTCCTAAACGTGTTGTAGACTTGATGTGTGTCCCATAAAATGAACTTTAAGTGTGTCTTCATACCTATAGGAACGCAGGTTTTGTTGTCATTGACCAGGGCATAGCCAGCAGCACAGGAACATACGACTCCTTCGTCTTCAATTTTGCAGAATTGCTCACAGTTCCCATTGTTGACCTTGCATGCATTTGGTATGACTGCAAAGGAGACAAACGTATAGGCAGGTTACAAATTCATGGTGATTTCATAAAAGCACAAGCAGCTCATAAAACCTCGCTTGCAAACGTTAGCCAACCACCCCACCATTTTGGGAAATGCTGTGCAAGTCCTTGTGATAATGACAGTTGTAACTCTCATTATTTGAAGAATGGTAAGCTCTGAACATTTGGCAGACCACTATTATTTTACATCTTAAGCTGTGTTTCGCAGCTGTAACTGGCAGCTCTTTAAAGGCAAAGCAAGGGATAATCCATACTTGCCAGAACAGCCATCGTACTAAGGCAAAGATGAACTTGGCTGTGGATAAAAGGCTAAAATTGCCAACAACTAAAGTATCAGCAATGAATGAAGTATTAGACTCTTGGTAGACCCACGCAATATTCCTCTTCCCCTTGTACATGGCTCAGACTACTCACCTCAGCTCAGTCCCTGGTATTGCAGGATCACAGGCAGAATGGGAGAGCTTTGCTGGCACTAACAGAGCAAGGAGAGGTAAACCAGTCCTAACAGATGCTGTCTAACCTGTTCCTACAGGTTCACAATGAGATTCCACAGCTCACCCACACAGCTTAACCTGCCCCTTAACTATCCTTATAATGTCTAAAAAGTGTTTCCTAGTATCTGCGTGTCCCTCGGAGTGATGGGATCCCATTACTTCTTGCCTTAGCTGTTCGTGCTTGTGAAAACGGAGACGACTGCTTGTTTTTATTACATATTTTACAAATTTCTTTGGTTGCGTGCTATGGAACTGAAGGTGAAATTTTGTTTTCGTGTTTACCAAATTGCCTCCTAGTTATGTTGGACCACTGATCCTGTTTCAAAAGATTGTCTTAAACTCTCATCTCATGATAGTCCCTCCAGTCTGGAATGAGCTACAAATGCTGTGAGTAAACACTCTCTTCCATCTTGCACATCACTGTGGAAAATGCCAAGTATCAGAGGTCCTCAGGCTCACCTGGATGGAGCCCTGCACTTCGTATAATCTTTCAACCAATTAGCACAGTTTCTCAACCAGATGTGCACCAAACTGACAGGAGTTTCCTCCAGATGAGTGTTTCTCTTTCTGTTACAATAAAAGCGTTATATAAAATGATGTTAGAAGCCTCCGTTAATGAAGAGACCTAACATTTACCTCATCTTTTGCACCCACCCAGCCTGTAATTCTGTCCTTGGAGGAGATCGATGTGATTTGTTCCCGACTAGTGCAACTCAGCATTTCCTTTCCTCCTTATTGGACACAAGTAATCTGGTATCTTAAGGAATAAAGATTTTCTTCTTCTCTGGGAACAGATTAACTTTCTTCTTGGTCTCTCTTCCAATATCCATATATTTAGATCAGCTCTTGATTTTCACATCATGTTTATCTTACTGTATTAACTCCTTAGCTTCTCTAAATTTTTTTGCCAGGTTGCTTGCAATTCTTTTATACAGAGATGGGGTTTTCTGTACTTCCTTCTGGAGGTCAGGTCATGAAGGAGCTCAAGATTTTAATTAATCCTCCTGTTCTTTCTTGACCTTGGGATAGTTTGGACATGTGCCTTAAACACTTAGGGTTTTTGTGGGTTTTTTTCAAGAAGTAGACTTATCTTTCTTTTAAAAGATACTTTAATTTTATTCTCTTGGGTTTTTTATTTACTTCCTTTATGAGCTCTGTCATTTTACAGTTACTTTTATTAAAGTCTTCTTCTGACTTTGTATTGTCAGCCACTTCTAGTCTGCTGATTAAAATCTAACATAGACAAGGGCACTTGAAATTGCTTTCTATGTGTTTGTATGAGAAAATTTTTCTTGGAACATCCTGAAGACTCTCAGGGCACCCTGTGTCCCACTAAGTGCCTTTCCCACCTCACCTCTGGGATGTCAAAATCTCCTTCTAACTCCCAGCTCTTGTAATGTGGATGACTCAGGTGTTTGGTCAGTTGTCTCCAGCCAGCCCTCTGTAATCACCAGATGACTTTTACAGCAAAATTAAACAACAAGGCATGCATCATGTCTGCAGTATGATTCACACACTCTGGAGAGAAGCATCTCGGGGTACAACCTCAAAGACAGATGGGTCGTTTCCTCAAGTGGACATGTGATGTTTGTCTTGAGACTTAGACAAGCACAGTGGGTGATGGTGTAGGGTTCTTGTTCCCCTCCACACTTTTAAACCTTATGAGGTTCATTTTGTCACCCAATATCTTATGAACAGATAGTAAGGCTTATTTAATTATCACATCTCTTGAGGGCATGAAGAATAGCACACTGTGCTGTCAGTTTGAAAGCCCTGCATATTGACATATTAATCCCGTATTTTAGACTGACACAATTGTTTCAGTCCAAAATGGTATTCCCCTAGTGACTCAGCCCTGGATATTATTGCACTGCAGCACACAAGTGGGAGCAAAGCAGGTGAGAAAGCAAAGCTACTAAGTTTTCACTCATGTCACCCTGGTCCACAAAACACAAATAATGGCAAATAATTACCTGTGTGGTTTAGGCAAAGCAGCACAAAGCCAAGTTAAAGCAAAGGCTGTACCTGTCTGAACCATCTGAAGGAGAAGGAGGACAACAGGAAGAAGCCACATTGTCCTGCAGCGACCTGCCACTGCCATCCTCTGAGCTCGCTGTGCGTCTCCCACCAGTTTCTCTGCAGGGCTCTGGGGCAGCTGCTAAATGAGAAACACTACAGTACAAAGGTCATTAACTCACGAGAAAACAAACCCCCTAAGAGCAATGCCTGGGCTCAGTGTCAGCACGAGACAACATTAAACCAGAAAAAAGCCACTGTGCTGCAGCAATCCCACGCTGATAGTTTGCAGGTGCCTCGTGTCGGCAAAGCCCCTCTCTCCCGTGTGGGCAGCGTGGAGCTGGGTTTGCCACCAAGGCTGTGACTCTTGTGTATCTCAGATTCCTCAGGAAGAGGGGAGACCATAAACCAGGGCAGGTTCAGCCTCAGTAGAAGAACATGTGGTCGCATGGTTAAGCTTGGTTACGCTACCCAAACTCTAGATACCAGGCTGCCACTTGGTGCTTTCCTCTCCAGGACCGTGATCTATGGCTATTCCCTTTCTCACTGTTCACTCTGGGTGGCTCTACATTTTCAGGAACTATGAAGCAAGCCTGAGCACTAGAGGGTAGCTTAGAGTATCACCTTCCACTGTCCTTGGTAAATGTTAGCTCTTGCCTAAACCAGCAGTGTTTGCCTGCAGTGAGTGAGGAGTCCTGGTATTTTAAAATGTTTACTCAGCAGCTGTGTGCTGCACCTGTTTCCCTGGATTTTACAATCTGTTCAAATTCTGCTATGTGAAATTACCCCCAAATAATTAGTGTACATAAAAAAGTGTGCTTTAATTCTTTCTTTTCTCACAGGCCCTAGAGGTGTTTACGGGCTTTGGTAAGAGGCCAAGATGCAAGCAGATGTTTCATTCAGGTCCTCTCAGCATGGAAGAGATGCTATTACAGAACAAGGAATGAATATGAACCCCTTGAGCCTTGGGTGCTACAGGCACCATGGCACAGGATGAAAGGGTCTCTAGGAACCAGTTTCCTTTGTAATAGACAAATAAACTCTGATTGCAAAGCCCAAGAACAAAGTCTTTCATACTCTGTAGAATAATGACACTACTTTTCTAAGCACAGTCATGCTGCACACAAACATGGACTTTCATCACTCTTGCATTCCCAGATGTCAAACCAGCTCTGTGCCTGCTCTCTACTTGGCTTGACAAGAATGTATATACACACCAGCTAGTAAAACCCAGCTGCTGCCACCACTGCCAGAGGGAGGTCCTCCCCTCAGTTATCTCAACACCTATGCAGTCCAGTCTGACTTTCACTTCAGTCCTCAAGCCTCACAGAAGTATGGCCTCAGTATGAGTAAATCAGATTTGGGGAGCGCCTAGGTCTGAGGTTGTCCCTTTGAAGAGGGATGCCTCACCCCGCTGGGGCACAGGGCAGGCTACCGGTGAACACGGGACAAGGGATTAGAAGGTACAAACAGGAACGCAGAGGACATAAGTCGTCAGGGAACAAACACTGCTGAGCAAACAGTGAAGCAAGCCTGCTGGGGGTTTATGCAGGTGGAGACCATCCAGCTGGGGTAAGTGACCCGCAGTCCTTCCCGCCCGCGTTTACTGCTGACTGCAGCGACGTCGTGCTGCCGTGCAGAGTTGCACTTCTCGTTGGTCAGCCCGGTTTGCTCACAGCACCTGCTGTACGACACCAGCCCGTACCGGCTCGAGCCCCGAGAGGTAAGTAGCAGGTGTCTGGTGAAGTTCAGTGTACCTCAGAGAACAGGGGAGCGCAACGGCTTGGAGGAGCCTTGGCAAGGCCCTCGGGGGGGCCAGGGGCCTAGGGCGCAGGATGCGCAGTAACAGGCTGAGGGGCCTGGCTTTGTTCAGCCAGGGAGAGCTGGGGGATCTACCTGAACTCTTCCACTGCCTAAACACGGATTACAGAGAAGACAAGGCCAACCATTTCCCAGAGGTACCCACAGAAAGCAGATGAGGCAGTAGTCTGAGGTTGCCACAAGGACAATTCCAATGGGGCATGAGAATTTTTAGCCACGAGAGTGCTAAGGCAGGAACAGGTTGCCCATAGGGTAACAAAATCTCTGCCTCTGAAGTTTTTCAAAACATGACTGGACCAGGCCCTGCACAGCCTGCTCTAACTCTGATGTTAGCCCTGCTTTCAGCATGGGGTTGGACCAGATCACTTTCATCCATCCCTTCCATTGTAAATTTTTCCATGATTTCTGTAACTGGGACTGACTGAAGCTGAGAAGTTTTAAAGAAGAATATATGCAGGAACACTACTTCACATACCAAAAAACCATCAGAGTGAGTAGCTTCTGCCTGGAAACCTTATAGCACAGATCAGATCATAGTACCTGAACAGACTATGTGCGGGAAATCACTGGTTGAGTTTGCCTCTTTTTAAGGAAATTAGTGTCTTGACATCTGACTTGCCATTTATGAACCTCTAGGCCAGTGAAGTCTTTTAATTACCCCACTCTCCATTCTCTACCTTCTCATCAGCCTTGACGTAAGGCAGGTGAAATTTGTCACATGTTTTTTTAGGGACATTCGCTCTTTTTTCACTCTCAAATGAGATTTTGTTTTCACGTATTTGTAAGCTGACTGCAGGGAATAAATAAATAAATAATAAAAGAACAAAAAAGAAATAATGTTTTATTTCAAATGCTGGTGTACATCAATATTGCACCTTACAGAAACACCTAGAACAAGTACACATGCAAGAAGCTTTCCAATCCTCAGCCATACACAATCCAAAACATAATACAGAAAACACTGAACATGCACATACTATTTTTTTCAGATGAGCAGAACAGAAGTGTTCAAATTAAACTAAAGTGAAGTACAATCCACATAAAGCAAAACACCATTTTAATTAGCTGCTGTGACCTAAGCAGGCAATTTTGTGCAACATGTGGTTATTTAGCATCACATGTTGAATACTTAACTTGTGTCTCAGCTTTTACCAAGCTGCTCCCTTAATCTTCTAAATACATCTGTAGGTAGAAGCTAAACAGCTCTAGTAATAACAAACTCCCTACTGAGCCAGCTGGCTGCAATATGAGAATTAATTGAAGTCTTGTCCTTCTCACTTTCATCATGATTAGTGGAGGCTCATATGATGTCCTGGAGCCTCTGGTGGAAGCACTTGGGCAAACAGACAGGAACCAAAATGGCAATATAAAAATAACCAAACAAGCAAACAAAAGACCCCACTCAGCAGCCATTTCGTTTGGGGAAAGCCCCTCATTGTACAAATTCAAAATAACACCAACAGTCTGCATGTACATGCTTAAAGCCAGGAATAAACCAAAAAGAAGCAGCACCATAACTTTAAGGAATCAGCTCTCGAAACAAGTTTAACAGACGTGGCAAAAAAAAAAAAATAATAAAGTTTCCATCACAGAAACTGCACCTTGTTAGCTAACAGAAGGATCAAGAGCCACACCACTACAAATTTTGTCTCATGACCGTTCTTACCCAGCGTAAGAACCTGGACAGTTTGGTATACACACCATATTTGCCTTTCTTTGCACATCCTTCTCCCCAGCTAACAATTCCAGTAACGAAGTAAGTATCCTTATATCTGGTTACGTGGGGACCTCCACTGTCTCCTTGACAAGCATCTTTTTGCTCTGTTTCATAACCAGCACAGAACATGTTTTCTGTTATTGCAAAGTTAGTGGATTGCTTGCAAGTGTTCCTATCAACATAGGGCACTTCAAGCACTTTCAGTTTTTTGGATAGTCGTCCACCTTCAAATTCACGCCCGAAGCCACTAACCCTCCCAGATTTTTGGTTCATCAGAACTTCATTAGCAAAGTCTGCTTCGGGGAGGCATGCTGCGATAATGTACTCAGAAAACTTTATAGGGTCCTTCAGCTTTATTAAGGCTATGTCATTATCGTAAGTCTCGGCAATGTATTTAGAGTGAACAAGTATTTTGTCCACGGTATGCATCGTTTCAGACTGTTCTTTCTTTTCTCTGTCCACTTCACCTGCACAAGATTATTGAAAGGGTCATTAATATGGAGATAGTATAAGAAGTTAAGAATAACCTGGACAAAAAAGGAGAGTAGCATACCCATTCCTAACACTTTGTGTAAGCCTTTATACCATACAAGTAAACTGTAAAAAATGTATTGTAATATTTATTAGCAGCACCCGGATCAGTTTCAGTTCTGAGCTTCTGTCTATGGAGATTTTAGCAGCAGTTTACATAAAGGCATAAACCAGCTCAGCTAAACTAACGCAACTTTGGGTGGAAGCTCTTATCGGAGCTTGAGCCTGGCTTGTGTCAGGGAAGAGAAACTGGTCTGGGTCAAGACTAGAACAGTGCAAATATAAAGTTGTGTTGATCTAGTATCATGCCTCAGAAGTGAAGCAGTCACAATTCGAGTTCATTTCTTGTTCCTCTAGTCAATGTGTCATAGCTTTCCTGAGTGTTCCTGCAGAAAAAAATCTGTGTGCTTCCAGTGTGCCAGGGATGATAGGCTTTCTGAAGAAGCACTACTCTGATGAACACAGTGCTAGCCAAGGCCTCTAGAACATTTGTTCTTAATCACCTTCAACTAGCTGTAGAGAAGAAAGGGATGCACCATTATCACCTTCCACATCAGCTGCCCCTGTTGTTGCAAAGCAGGATTCCCACAGTGACAAGAAATTATGAAAAGCAAAACAGCGATGAAAAAGTAACATACCATAACAAATAAAGTGACATGAATACATCTCACACGAGATCTAGAGCACAGAGGATTAGTTTGCAACACAAGCTCAAACTCCATGGGAGTAAAATAACCACTTACCAACAACAACTTTGATTTCTTTAGATTGGTTCATGCAATGAGCTGCAGTAAGTACGAAATTTTCATTCAAAATAGTTCCACCGCAAAACTCTTCCCCTGCCTCATTTAACAAAACTGCCTGCAGAAGAAAAAAGGTAAGTGCAGAATTAAGGAGAACATTTACCTTCAATGAGCTATGAGCAGGTAATTGATTTCTCTGCACACTTGCATATATGCTTATTGCTACAACATGGACTACTCTGCAAGTGCCTCCTAATGCT